AGTGTGTGTGTGTGTGTGTGTGTGTGTGTGTGTGTGTGTGTGTGCATCACAGTGCATGTGTGGCGGTCAACCGTCATCTACCTAGAGTCAGCTCTTTCCTTCTACCATGTGGGTCCCAGGGATCAACTCAGGATGGCAGCCTATAACTTTACTGGCTAGATCATCTTTCCTGCTCATTCCCTACCATTTTGACAGTACTGACAGTATTTTTTAATCTAAGATATGTTTGGAGTTTCTTTTCCAAGTGTGGTACCATGGTTCAGATGCCAGGTGCTGGGGTCTTGGGACAAAGCCAGATTCTACCATTTTCAGTTCCATGGCATTGGGTACTGATTTATTAAGAATGTACATTTTGTCGCATCAAATCTTAATAATGTTACATTTATTTGAAGGACAGGTAATATTTTTAAATGACCTTACAGCTACCGGAATGTTGTAACACTCACGGGAGCTCCCATCCACTGCCCAGCTCCCTTTCATGGTGATATGTCACATACCTTGTGTATTTATTGACAGGAGATAATGGACTGTTGTACAACTCAAACAACAAATTCTGGTCTCCATGGAATTTAGGACAAAATATTTTTCTTCCAGACTTTTTTCAGCAGTTAATTCAGTACACAGAAGAATTCCGGCACCTGCCACTCATTAAGCTTTGGATTGGACCAGTACCCCTGGTGGCCCTTTACAAGGCAGAGAACGTGGAGGTGGGTATGCTATTACAGTGGATAGCGTGCTCTGTATGTAGGCTATGATGTAAGAAGTTCATCAGGACGCAAGGCACAAATACAGCTTCAAGTTTCATTACACGCCAGCCAAAGAGCATTTTGCTCAGGAGGCTCTGTGCAGGCCATTCAGTGATTTCTTGCTGCAGTTCAATTGCAATCCTGGGAGAATAACTCCCCACAGCTGTATGCATTTCTCATTAGGTCTCAAGATACTTGTTCTCCTTTTGAAAGAAGTCTTCTGAGAGAGATTTCTGTTGTTGTTGTTGTTGTTGTTGTTGTTTGGGAGTTTTAGTGTTCTGTTTTGTATTGGAAACTAAATTGAAGTCCACTGCATATCATACAAATGCTCTTCCTTTAAGGTCGATGCCTTTTTCTTTTTTTTCTAATTTTGAGAACCTGGGTTGCCCAAGGTGGCTTTGCACTCATGCTGTAGCTCCAGGCTACCCTTGAAATTGTAACTCTCCAGCCTCAGCCTCCTGAACAGCTAGTGCAGAGGCCCTGCACCAAACCTAGTATACCAGACAATTTTAAGAATCCAAAATTCATACCTAATAAAATAGGGGTGTTTCTATCATGGTTTTCAGAGTCTCCTATTGTATCAGTGATAAATTTATTACCATACTGAGGATGTAGAGCACAAGGGAAAGAAACTAAGCCTTGGGGTTGTTTGCCCAGTAGCAAGCCCAGAATATTCTCAAGTGATCTGACTTGATGTCTGGAACAGAAGCTGTCTTAGTTATATTGCTTGTAATTAAATACCATGACCAAGTTTAATTTGCAGCTTATAGTTTCAGAGGGCCAGTCTATGACTATCATGTCAGGGAAGCAGCAGGCAGGCAGACATGGTGCTAGTAGTAGCTGAGAGCTCAAATCTCACTACACAAAAATTAGGTAAGAGAACTAACTGGAAAATGGTATGGGCTTTTGAAACATCAAAGTTAAACTTCAGTGTCACACCTCATTCTACAAGGCCACACCTCTTAATCCTTTCTCAAACAGTTCCACCAACAGGAGACCAATTATTCAAATATATGAACACACACACACAAACTTACACATACATACATATATACATACACACATATATCTATATGTATATCTATATCTCTATATATGGACCATTCTCATTAAATCACCATAGAGGATATTCTGTCCATTAAACAGTACAGTGAATATGGTATTGAGAAGGAATGAGGAAATTTTGTCTTAATCATCTCTTATAGGATTGTCATAAAGTAAAAAAAAAGTTTTTCTAACCATTTTGACTCAGAATAGCACATAAAGCCACAACCAGATATTATGTCTGCCCACATGCTTCTTTCAATATTGCATGTGTGTTTTTGTGTGTGTGTGTGTCAGAGAGAGAGAGAGAGAGAGAGAGAGAGAGAGAGAGAGAGAGAGAGAGACTATGTAGTGTGTTTGTAAGTGTGTGGGTTGTGTGTGTGAGGTGTGTGTGTATGGGGGGTGTAGATGTGTGTGGGGTATCTCTGTGTGTATGTGTTGCTTTCAATGTTTTGTTGCTTTCAAGGAATGGTTTTAGGTCTAGTTACTATATCTTAGGCACACATAAATTGTTCTTAGTCAGAGGCATGAGTGGGCTACAAAGAAAAAACAGGAACTATGGTACATTCAAGCAATGCAATTCAGTGAGCTTATAGGAGTTAATCACATTGGGAATCCAAAGTAGAGTAAGATTCATTCCATTGTTTCTTTCTCAAAAGTCCAGTCATTCTAAACAAGCTGAATGTACAGCATATAAGCAGAATAAAAACATAGTCATAAATGATCTCAGGTCACATTATTAACTTGTTACAGATGGAGTGAAAGTGTGATTTGTAATGGTAAGCTACAGGCAGCATTTGCAGAAAAATTATTCCTACAGTCCTACTTCCTTAGGTGTATCAATTAAGGGCCACACCAATCAAAGTGGATGCTGATGTAGTGGTTGGTAATAGTGGAGTATGTTGGAGCAGTGGAATGAATTAACATTACTATAGTCTTAGTGATTCTTGGAAAAGGTGGAATGCTTCTTAAACTCAGGACAGGGGCCCTCTTCTGCAGTCAGGTTGTCTTCTGGTGCCAGACCACAGGGCTTTTCCCAGTCATACTGAGGAGCAGAGATGGTCTGTTAGGACAAAGCAAAGACATAGCCATAGATTCAATTAATGGGTGGAATAGGATGTAGCTATTTGGGGAGCTCTTGAGGAAGTTTATATAAAACCATGTGGGTTTTGTTCTTTTCTTTCTTTCATTTTTGTTTTTTGTTTGAGACAGGGTTTCCCTGTGTAATAATCCTGGGTGTCCTAGAAGTAGACCAAACAGGCCCCAAACTCACAGAGATCCATCTGCCTCTGTCTCCAAAGTGCTGGGATTAAAGGTGTATGCCACCACTGACTGGCTTGTTTTGTTTTTTAAACTTCTTGCTTCTTAATGATAGTTTCCCACAGGTGTCAGGGAAGGAAACTGAGAAATAAAGGAATCCTTTAGTCCCCTGCTTTCATTTTTGTATTTGGCAGTTACATGGAAATTTCCAAAGTTGGCAAAGTGAGAGACAAGTTTTAGGACCACCAGTAGGGTGTTAACTGTTTTAACTCTTTTGTTTAGGGACCCTGTTACAGAGAAAGTAGGCAATAATTATCTAGAAATAGTTTCAACAGATTCATGGATTTGTGTACTAGTAAAGATAAAGCCTGAAGAAGTATCAATGCAAACATGAACAAATTTAAAAGATCCAAAGAAATGTATGTGAGTTATATTTATTTGCCAGAGATCATTAGGATAAAAACCATGGGAGTTAACTCATCTCGGGGTGGTGGTGCCCAGTAACTGACAGTTGGTACAGGATTGGATGATTAGCTGAACCTGTGTCTGTGATAATTGAAGTCATTTTTGTAAAGCTTTAGCTTCTTGGTAAAAGAAGGAATTGGAAGCAGGGAGCCTGTTGAAGAAAAGGTACAAATAGATGTCAGCAAGATGGTATCCTTCTGTGTGGGGCTGGCACTCCTGTATGGACTGAATAAGAACATGTTGAGCTTGTCTAGTGATGACAAGGAGTCTAAGGTATGAACCAAGGTGGCTTAAAATAAAAGTGGAGTGGCTTGAGTCACACAGTGAGACTCTGTTAGTAGATTGACAGGTTAGTTAGGGAGTTATCAGGAAGCAGAAAAGGCAGCCTGCAGTTTTGCCCATTGGGTGGCAGTTCCTATAGGGTTTACAAGAGAGTGCCATAGTCCAGCACCATAGTGTTAGGCAATGGCCCCTTTTGTCTGATAAAATGGTCAGTGCATGAGAAATAGGATGATTATTTATGGGAGAAAAGGCCTGAATGGAAAGGGATTCAATTTTACCTGTAGTCTTTATAGGAAAGAGGTGAATAGAAATTTGTCTCCCAAGTCCTGTAAATGTTATTTTTTATTCTTCTGAGGTCTATGGAAGAAAGTGAAAGTTGCCTTGAGATATAGAAGGATGGGTGGTTTTGGTCCAGCCTTGCTGAGTGAAAGTTATTCTTTGTTAAGTTTTTTAAATATATGTATTGGGAAGAAGAAATAGCCATTCTAAAAATGCCTGCAATGGGGGTTCACTGTCCAATGGCTGCTGTAAGAGGGAAGAGGAGTGTTAGAGATACATAAATAGAGGGGGTAGATCTCATCATTGACAAGAAAGTGGATTGTTATTCCAAGGCTCAGGCTACTAGCTGTGTCATCCAAGGTGGATGTTGTCACCCAAGGTTAATTTAAGTCATTGCCCTCTTTAAGAGACATAAAAGGGAATGGCAGAGCTGCATTGGGAGTTTCCAAGGAAGGTCAAAGTCAACTGACATTGCCTAAGAGCTGTTAAAGAGAATTTAGCATTATCCTTTGGGGCAGGGTGGGGGACACTTGTAATAGATGGGGCATAATAAAACCAATAGTCACAATGTATCCAAGATAGCTGTATGGAACAGTTTGCTGAATTTTGTCTGGGGCAAGCAGTAAATGAAAGTTCTATCATGAAGCTTATAAATCGTTTAAAACAACTAGATATGTGTCTTCAGTAGGGGAATCTAGTAAGATATCCTCCATGTAATTAAGTATATATAAACCTTAGGACATTTGCTTCAACTGGGGTGTACTGCTTTATTTGCCCACCATTGACAGAGGTAGGGGTATTTACCTTATTGAAGGAGGACTTGCCAGTGAAACTGAGACATAGATGTTAGGTAACTGAGAATGAGCTTTTAAAAGGCAAATTTTTCTATATCATCGATGTGTAAAGGAATAGTAAAACAAACAAACAAACAAAAATCCTTAAATAACGTTTGTTTTGAAGGACCATGGCAGGAGAGGGAGTTTGGTGGACAGGTGACCACAAGTCTACTGCCAGAACTTGATTAATATTGGGGACATTATTTTAAGCCCTTGTGTGGTTTGCATGGTTTATTTATTAATTAGGCTGCTGGCAAATTGTTGAGCCACAATTTCCAAGTGTCCTTTTTAGGTTACCTTTTTTTAGAAGGGGATTAAACAGACTTAAAAAAGCTTTTAAATATACATCCACAGAGAAACATCATGCCCATCCTTCACATCCAAGGTTGTGGCAAAGCCACTTTTCCCAGGTGAAGACAAGCCTTTAGCTCTGGATGAACTAGTAGGGCAAGGTAGGGTCTAAAAGGATAGAGGATAAGGCCAGGAAGTGTATGTTGTTTAATAGGAGGTAGAATTAGTTATTGGTTTTTTGTAAGTTCCCTCTTTTCTCTTGATAAAGCTGTGTACCTAGTCTAATTGGCTTCAAAAAGTGAAATTTTTTCCCCAAGTTTCTGAACCAAGAGTCCCATAGTCAGGGTACGAGGGACAATATTTCTGACTAATGTTTAAAAGCCGTAATGCCTTAGGTCCATCCAGTTCCTTTAAGTAAAGTGATTAAGAGCTGTGCCTAAGTTTAAATTCAGGAGACTAAGAACTCCCCATAGTGAAAACAAGAGCCAAAGGCAATCAAGGGATTCACCTATTCATTTCCCTCAGCTCCATTTAGTCCCCAAGCTTGGATGACAATTTATTTGTATATTTGAAACTCTGAGCAGATTTCTTTTAGGCAAAAGAACTAAATGAATCACAAAGAATAATAAATGTTGATAAAATGTTGCCAAAGTTCTTATATTGATGATGTCTAAATCCTTGTTATTTTTTATCTCTTCTTAAGGTAATTTTGACCAGTTCGAAGCAAATTGATAAATCATTTATGTACAAGTTCCTACAGCCATGGCTAGGACTAGGACTTCTCACAAGGTAAGGCACTGTCTGATATTTTTTTGATAGACAATTGTTCAGATGTCTGGTAGCCTCCAGCTATGGTAATAGACAGTTCCTAGCTAGGCATGCCTATAACCGGAATTTATGAGTCCATAAGTGGAAAAAAGCACTCTCAGAATTAGGAGGTCTGCAATACAGTGAAAATGGGTGATGGAGGGAACCCTTGAAAAGGTGGTGGGACAGCCAGACAGCCGCAGATACTTACATAAATCAGCCTTTGTCTGGCATCTGGAAATATGTCTCTTCCCCAAAAGTAGGCTCAGACAGGAACAGGCACTTAGTAAACTGTTTTTCAGGATTCAAACAGTAGACATTAAGGTCGAGTCACAAAGCATATGGGTGTCTGAAGACTGAGGCTTAGGGGACAGGCTGATTTCAGAAATTCTTCTTAGAAATGAACAAAATATTCTCAACATTTCCTAGCTTATGAAACTAATTTTAGCTATTAATTTCATAGAATGAGGTCCAGGTATTGACACTGTGGGAATAAATAAAACCATCATACATATGTGGCTGCCTTTCTCTTCAAATGAGATCATTGCGATGCTGGGGATGAGGCTATTTTAGAATGGTGTTGACTGGGCTGGGCTCACGGCTTGTGCGCCTGGTTCTCCTCCTCTTTAGTTTATTATGGTGTGTTTGTTGTGCTTGCAGTACAGGGAACAAGTGGCGCTCCAGGAGGAAGTTGTTAACGCCCACATTCCATTTTACAATTCTGGAGGATTTCTTAGATGTCATGAACGAGCAAGCGAATATATTGGTTGATAAGCTTGAAAACCATGTCAATCAAGGAGCATTTAACTGCTTTGTTCACATCACTCTTTGTGCTTTGGATATTATCTGTGGTAAGTCTGAAGGGTTTATGCTGTGAGAATGAAATGGTCTGAATAGAAAATAAGATCCCATGGGAGGGACAAATGAGGGGATTGGTTGGGAAGGATCCAGGATCCTTCAGAGTAATGTTATTGTAAGACTCTCCCCAAGAAGCAGCAGCCATTCCTTGGGGGTGGGGGTTACCAAAGCAGACACTGTGTCACCTTGCCTGGAAGGTCAAAGGGAAGGGATGACAGGAACTGTAAATAGGAGGTTCAGAAGGGAAAAGAAGAAGACATAGAACAATGGTGTAAACTCTTGATTCTACCTCTGTGTTACAGAAACAGCTATGGGGAAGAACATTGGAGCTCAAAGTAATGATGATTCCGAGTACGTCCGTACAGTATATCGGTAAGTGTGTGTGTGTGTGTGTGTGTGTGTGTGTGTGTGTGTGTGTGGCGCGCGCGCGCGCGTGTGCGAGGGTGTGTTTTTTTTTAATATTTATTCATTAGTTCTAGTTAGGGAATAAGCTTGAATCACATGTAAGTCCCTTCTCCCTCTCCCTCCTCTCACCCCCATCCCTCCTCCCCCATCCCCAATCTACCCCCCACCCCATCCACCCACCACTCCCAAGGCAGGGTAGGGCCCTCAACCGGGGCTCTGCAAAGTCCACCAAATCTTCCTGTGCAATACTAATCCACCACCAGAGGCTCCCTGGAGTGCAGAGGCCTCCTTATTGACATCCATGTTCAGGGCTCTGGATCAGTCTTGTACTGGCCTCCCCGACAGCATCTGGGGTCGATGTGCTCTCCCTTATTCAGGCCAACTGTTCCTGTGGGTTTCTCCAACCTGGTACAGACCCCTTCGTTCTTCATTCCTCCCTCTCTTCAACTAAATTCCCGATTTCAGCTCAGTGTATATCTGTGGATGTCTGTCTCTGCTTCCATCAGCCACTGGGTGAGGGCTCAAGGATGGCATAAAGAGAAGTCATCAATCTCATTTTAGGGGAAGGGCTTTTAGGTTATCCTCTCCACCATTGCCTGGATTGTCAGATAGTGTCATTATTGTAGGTCTCTGGAGATCTCCCTGGTTCCAGACCTCTTCTCGCACCTATAGTGGCTCGCTCTGATATGGTATCTCTTATCCTGATCTCTTTCCTCTATTCTTCCCCCAACTCAATATGTCTGCCCCTCCATTTCCTCTCCTCTCTTCCTCTTCTCTTGCTCTTGTTGCAGCATTTCCTTCCCCCCACCCTCATGCTCCCAATTAGTTCAGGAGTTCATGCCAC